GTTGTGGCATAGGCGATTGAGACACATGAGCGAAAAGGGGTTGCAAGCTCTTTCCAAGAGAGAGGTATTGCTAGACCTCAGAGGTATACATCTGAACCCTTGTATTGATTGTTTGGATGGTAAACAACACAGAGTTTCATTTACTAGTCCTGCTTTGTCTAGAAAAATACATGTCTTAGACCGTGTTTATACAGATGTATGTGGTCCTTTGAGGACAAAAACTCCTGATGGATCTATTGATGTTCTTGGTATAAGTTGTGTACTTTATTTTATCACTTTTATAGATGATTTTTTCAGGAAAGTTTGGGTCTATGCTTTGAAGACCAAAGATAAGGTTATTAATGTCTTCAAAGAGTTTCATGCCAGGGTTGAAAGGGAGACAGAAAGGCAATTGAAATGCATAAGATCAGATAATGGTGGTGAGTATACAGGATTATTTAATGATTATTATAGGTCACATGGGATCCAACATGATATGATAGTTTCTGGTACACCTTAGCATAATGCAATTGCAGAGAGGATGAACCGCACCATAATGGAAAAGATTAGATGTATGCTTTCACAGGCCAAGCTACCCAAAAAATTTTGGAATAAGGCTTTGAGGACTGTAGTTGATGTGATCAACTTATCACCATGTACAGCCCTAAATAGTGATGTTGCAGAGTATGCATGGTCAGGGAAAGATGTTTCCTACAAGCATTTGAGAGTGTTTGGTTATCGTGCATTTGCACATATTCCAAACAATGAGAGGTCCAAGCTGGATAGTAAGACTAAAGAATGTATTTTTCTTGGCTACTCACATGATCATTTTGGTTATAGGCTTTGGGATCCAGAAAAGCAGAAGGTGTTTAGAAGCAGAGACGTAATCTTCTTTGGGGATCAAACTTTTGAAGATTTGAAGAAGAAGGCATCAGCCAATACTTTTGCAGAAGGATTAGCAGATTGTGACATAATTACTCCTCCAGGGTGATGGGGGAGATATGCAGGAAGATAGTGTAGAGCCTGATGTTGATCTACCTGCAAGACATGTTGAGCAAGAAGAAGTTAGAGAGCAACTTCCCGTAGAACCTCAAATGAGAAGATCTTTTAGACAACGTCAACCTTCCAGAAAATTCTCTACAGATGAGTATGTAATGCTTACTGATGCAGGTAAACCAGAGAGTTACCCGGAAGCAGTTGAAAGTGAGCAAAAAAAAGAATTGATTAATTACTATGTAGGGTTACTTACTATGCAGGAAGAGATGAATGATCTTCAGAAGAACCACACTCATGATTTGGTGCTACTACCAAATGGAATGAAGGTATTAAAGAACAAGTGGGTTTTCAGGTTAAAGGCTCAAGAATATTGTTCTCAACCAAAGTACAAAGCTAGATTGGTTGTGAAAGGCTTTGGTCAAAAAAATGTATTGACTTTGAAGAGATTTTTTCTCCTGTTATTAAAATGTCTTCTATTCGTGTTGCTCTTGGTATTGCTACTAGTCAGGACTTGGAGGTTGAACAATTAGATGTGAAGACAACTTTCCTTCATGGAGATTTAGAGGAGGAAATTTATATAGAGCAATCAGAAGGCTTCAAAGTCAAAGGTAAAGAGAACTTTGTCTTCAAATTGAAGAAGAGCTTGTATGGGCTAAAGCAAGCTCCAAGACAGTGGTACAAAAAGTTTGATTTATTTATGACAGAAAATAAATACAAAAGAATGACTTCAAATCATTGTGTGTATATCAAATGGTTTGGTTAGGATTTTATTATTCTCTTACTTTGTGTTGATGACATGCTTATTCTTGAGAAAGATATGTCTAAAATTGACAAATTGAAGAAGGAACTAAGTGAGTCTTTTGCAATGAAGGACATGGGGCCAACAAAGCAAATACTAGGTATGCAGATTTTTCGTGACAGGAAAAATAAGAAAATTTAGTTGTCATAGGAGAAATACATCGAGAAGGTATTGGAAAGATTCAGTATGAGCAATGCAAAACCAGTTGGTTCTCCTCTTGCATGTCACTTCAAGTTGTGCTCAAAACAGAGTCTGTCAAGTGATGAGGAGAAGGAGAAAATGCAAAAGGTTCCTTATACTTCAGCAGTTGGAAGTTTAATATATGCAATGGTATGTACGAGGCCAAACATCACATATGCGTTGGTGTTACTAGCAGATTTCTTACAAATCCAAGCAAAGAGCACTGGGCAGCAGTGAAGTGGATTTTTAGATATCTTAGAGGGAGCTCTAAGGTTTGATTAAGCTTTAGAGATGGACCACATGTGTTGACAGGTTACACAGATACAGATATGGCAAGAGATATAGATACGAGAAAGTCTACTTTAGGTTATGTACTTACTTTTGCAGGGGGAGCTGTGTCATGACAATCCAGGTTGCAAAGGTATATTGCTCTCTCCACCACAGAAGCAGAATATATTGCTACTACAGAGGTATGCAAAGAAATATTATGAATGAAAGAATTCTTATAAGAATTAGGGCTGAAATAGGAAAATTATGTGGTGCATTGTGACAGCTAGAGTGTCATCCATTTATGTAAGAACCTGATGTTTCATTCGAAGTCAAAGCATATAGATGTTAGATACCACTAGATTTGAAATATATTTGAAGAGAAGCAGTTGTAGCTTCAGAAAATTCACACAAATGACAACGAAGCAGACATGTTGACAAAGATCTTACCAAAAGAAAGATAGGAGATATACCGACAACTGGTCGGCATAGCTTCACATTAAGGAGTTATGGGACAGCCTCCCTTATGGGCTGAAGGGAGAGGTTGTTGGGCTGACAGCCCATATTCAACCCAATGTGGGCTTTATCAGCCCACATTTTCACCCCCTTTTAACCTAACTCTAATTAACATTAGGGGGTGTGGTGGCTGTCAAAAACTCCATAAATAGGGCAGCAACGAGGGCAGCAACATTAGAGATCTTCGCAGTAGAAAAGAGGTAAAGAAAAAGGTAGAAAAATAAGAGAAAGAAAGGGAAGAAAACAAGGATAACATAGAGAGATTGTTCTCAATCATCCAGTAGTATTCTCATCTCATGTTAGATCAAATCCACAATAGACTTTTCCTGTGATCACTTAAGGAGGTTTTAGATATTATGGACAATGACGTGATCCTTGTATCCTTGTGATTATTGCTAGGGTTTAGAGCAAAAGATTGAGATTTGTATATTCATTATTCTGATAGTGGATTATCTCTAGTTTGCCCCGTGGTTTTTACCCTTCACATTGGAGGGGTTTTTCACGTATATTTTGGTGTTCTATTTGATTGTGATTTCATTTAATTTCACTGCGTATCATGGTCTGTTAGTATTTATTTATATACAAATATTATTTCGTATTATATTCCATCATTTACTGTTTATTCTGCATTATATCCCATCATTTACTACTTTCGTTTCAGAGAAAGTAATAGCATTTCAACAAGTTCTTTCTGCAACAACTTCTTAGTTGCATACTTCTTTCTCTGCTTTGGTTTCAGAGATAATATTTGCAGGATCATGTTCACATCTGCATAACTCGAGTGGTTGAGAAGCTAATTAACGTAATTTCGTGCATTATACTTACTATCTTGTGTAAAACAAAAGAAATGAGTTACTTCAAATCTCCACCTTACAAATATTTTATTTTCCTTTACAAATATTTTTGAAGAAAAATCACTTAAGCAACTTGAGATTTTTTCACATTTAGTTTGTTAAGCAACAATAACTATTCCAAGTCTTAACATTCTTCAGGCTTAAACGGATGAGACCATTTTTCATCTTCATTAGACTAATATCTTATTTTTTTTAATTTTTCTTTGGTAAAACCACTTGAATTGTGAAGCAACAACGCATGTTGTTGCATTTAATCACTATGATCGAAAGTGTTTAACTTGAATTTGTGATTCCTTGTGAATTCAAGTTTGCCTTAGATGTAGATAGAGGGAGTTAAGGTTAACTCCGTCATCAATTGGTTGTCATAATAAAAAAAAAAAATTTAAATCTTAAAATTTGATAATGAAATCAATTGATAAATTAATGATCTAATCTAAGATAAGTGTTATAAGATTAATTATGATAATGGATAAGATATAAAGCAGATATTGGACCGGAGTCAAAGATCGAACGATATGATAAAGATTTAGATGATGTATCGGGAGTTCGTCGAGAATTCAATGATTGCCTTATGCATCATCAACTTTGTCGAGATATTTTGCCTTCACAAGACCAAAATTTGGATGACACACCTTTATATTACCTTGACTTATATGAAGATTTAAATCATGTTAAGTTATGTTGATATATATTTTTACTAGTCAACCCAGCAATGTTGACCTTAGCCGACGACCCATTCAGACGGTCACATTAGAAGCCAACCATTCAACCAAGCCCAGGCAACGAACGCCATCTATCACGGTGGCGAGGAACGTGATCACACGCCCATTTATGGCTTCGATCAATCTGTAACTTCTAATTCGATGGACCCCAGCGGAATGTGCCACAAATGCGTGGTTTGGGTCGAAACATACCCGACGCTAAGAAATGTTTTCCTCGCTCTAATGGGAGAAAACTTTCCTCTACGTGGGCCCCACGTGAGCCCCACAGTTTCTTCTTTCATAAGACAGGTAATTTAACGGGCAGGTTCGAACACGTAAAAGAAGTATGGCTCGAGTCCGGACGCGGCAGCAAGTCGACTCCCACGTCACAAACGCTGCTCTCCGGTGGCACTTCAGCAATTAATGCGAGACCTGGTCCTGTTAACACCTATCGTACGTCGGATCAAGATCTAACGCTGAAAACTTGGCTCTCCGCGGTTTGCTCTTTCCTCTTCGGAGGCCGCCAGAATGACCATTCCACCACTACGCTAATACCATTTTCCACCGCCCGATCAGCATCGGAGCGATCAGATTGTGATGAGGCGCATCAAAATATTGCCGCGAAAGGGTATTTATGTAATTATATGTTCTCGTTCCGACCAAGTCTATTTTATACGTCTCCGTCTTTCACGCACGAACTCTAACCGGCGGAGGAACCGTAACCCTCTCTCAGTGTCGTCTCGACACATCGCTTCTGGAGGAATCCTCCTCCCGGGTAGTAATTCTTTTTGTGGATAGTATTACTCATTAAGATCGATTTTGATTATATTCTTTTGGTTTGATCCAGGTTTCTCTATGTTTTGTACTCGATTTTTTGGGAGAAAAAGGTGGTCTTTTTTAGTTTCTATGGGAAAGGAAGACAGTCTGCCACAGCAGCTGAAGGAAATCGATGTCTTTTCTTGTAATTTATGTGCATGCGTGGGTGTGTCCGTGTTGTGACTTTGGAGCCATCGAGTTTTGGCTAATATCTTTGGTTTTATGTTGGCGTCGATTGTGGTTAAATATCGACTTGCAGGAAATTTGTTATATTTTCTCTTTAGTTCTGTTTTCTAGGTTGAATTTACTTATGTTCGTGGCTATTGGCTGGCAAATCCTTCTTTTCTGGCTTTTTTTTAATTTTTTTGCGATTTACATGAGAAAATCTTGCTTTTGCACAACGTGGTTAAAGCTAAGTAGTAGATTCTATTCCGAGATAATAAATAGAAAGATGTGTTTTCTAGTGTTCCTACTTGCATTTTACTTCTGGAGAATTTAATTTTTAGATGAATTTGGACTTGGGAGGTTCTGAATTGGTTACTTTCCGAAAAAAAAGAAAAAGAAGGTTCTGAGGTGGTTATGCATTGGCTTATGGTTGATTTACCAGAGGTTCAACTGTTAGATTGACCAACTAGATGATCATTGTGCTGATTGAGCTCTAAATTTTTACAGATTTCCTGCGGACTTCATCTCACAACCCTAATAATCGACAAGCTTAGTGGTTTACTGAACTCCAAGTCTGCAGATTTGGTTTATTTAATGCTATTAGAACCATTCTGTTTCTTGTTTTTGTTTAGAGATCTCATCTGTATTCATGAAACAGTCTCTTTTTGTATATTTCTAGCATATAGCTTGGTTTTTCTCCCTTAAGTTTTCTCGTCTTAACAGACCTATTGGATTGATATATGATTTGAGTTTCTTCCTTTTCCTCTTAATGAATAGTCTTTATATACGCAGATAGCTTGGTGTCTGACTTTATGAAATGAGATTCAGCAATTGCTATTCTCAACAAGCATCATCCATAATCAATCAAAAAATCAGTTGAAAAATGGTTTGAGATTTAAGCAGGCAGGTGTGGTTCAAGCTCTCCAAAATGAAACTGATTTGGGAGTCAATCAGGCAGGCTTGGATCAAGCAGCTTCTAGTTTCCCAGATTCAGAAATAAAAAGGTGTTGATGCAGAGGATCAAATTAGTTTTGTTGATACATTGTCTGAGGATAGTGATTACATGTGGTTATCTTTGGATAGCTTTTTGATAAGCTCTGATGACTTGCAGGATATCTGGGAGTCTGATTGCTTGAATTGGTCTCTGAAAGGTCAGTTATCTTCAATGTCATCATTGCCTGGAAGTTCTGATGTTACTTCAGACAAGAGCAATGAAGCTTTTGTTTATAATGGGTCAAAGTCTATCCATATAAATGAAATTTCCTTAGTTCTCGGCAGACAATTGGCCATCGAGGTAAAAGATGTGGAGGAATTAATACAAGGAGATGTTGGAAGCCAAGAAAAAGATTCTTCAGTTGCCCATCCAGAGTGCCTTACTTCTCACTGTCCTCTACGTGAGGACACATCAATCAGCAACAGTTTATGTGCATTTCCTAGTACATATGTGGATACACCATGGGATCTTGATAGAACAGACATATGGGTATCTTCATTGGATCTGGAGAGAGAAGACTCTGAGCTACTAAAGGATAGAGAAGAAGAGTTTGACATTTTTATTTCTGATTTTCCCAGCCCTTCTTTGGGTGCAATGGGACATCTGCAAATTTGGTCTTTGGGTTCTAGATCTCTAATTTCTGGTGGTCAAGAAGAAAAATTCAAAAACACTACTACGGATTCAGATGAACCTCTTTATTGGCCATTTAACCACAACTTGTACAATGGTCTGGATTTTGAGAATTTTTTATGCCCATCACCTTGTAAGGATGCAAGGAACATTGGCATTGCAGGATTTCCTGATTCAAAATTAACCAGGTTGAGACTCCATCAGAACAGACTACAAGTTGACAGGAAGGACAGTCAAAGAATTGGAAGAAGGATTACAATTAGTCCGAAACCAGCGGCTGTTACCACTGAACATGAAACAAGAGTTGCGGGCAACGGTGCTCAGAGGTCGGCTCTGATGTCATCAAGGTTGAGCAGATCATTCAAAACTCCTTCCTATCAGCATCCATGGAATATCTCCAAGAGAAGAGGAAGGCCTCAGTTAAAGATAAGTGTCGGGAAACATGGTGGTAGCAGCACTGAGTTGTTGAATCAACCTCTGAAGGAACTTGAATTACATGATTCAGTCTTTGAAGGGAATTCAATTGAAAAAATTGTTGGCCTGAATGAATTTGATGGCCATGAAGGCATCAATGTGGATTGCGAGGAACAGTTTATTCTTCAATCATCTCCTTATAGGGGATTAATTCCTTTGAAAACCATCGAGCGTGTCAGAGGACAGTGTTGATTACAAGGGTGCAACTTTTAGGTTCTGAGCCGTGTAAGATCGACCTTATTCTAGATGGTGTTTTCATTAAGCATGTTGAAGTTTGTGAAAACTGCATTCAATAGCAGATGTATTGGTCTCCTTCACACGATTCTATGAAGCATTCTGGATAGCAACAGCCGTTCTAGTTTATTTTGCTTCAGTACATCACTGAAATTTGGAGCAACACAGTGGTGCATTGAATGTGTCGGTGATTGATCACACAAGAAGAGCATTTGAGGTGATTACTCATCATTTTAAGTAATAGTTAAACAAAAGAACGGCAGTAGTCAAACTCTCAGTTAGTAAAGTCAAAAGGCAACTTTCCTGTCTGTAGCGAAGGAGTGGTGCATTAATTAGTCATTATTACATTCATAAGTCCACAGTCTAATAGTGTAATCTGCTTCCCATGTCTCTTACCACCATTGAGCATGAGTTTGATGCTTGTTTTGAAAGAAAAGCATCATCTGAAACAATAGTGATTTCTAAGTCGATATGGCTTTTCTCAGATGAGCAGTGTCTATGTGGCCCTGTTGTGCTCTAGTGAGGTGTGCAAGTCTCTCGACCGGCATTGTAGATATCTTTTACAAACATTTTAATCTCTGGAGTTATACATTACTTTATATGAATTTAGATGTACAATATGTGTATGTTATTGCGATTCATCCTTGATGGTTAAGCTAATTTTTTACCCTTAAACTCCATGCAAAAGGAGAATTGGTGGTTGAATACAGATAATGCACATAACTATAAGCTGCTTGGCATTAGATATTTTCATCTGAACATAGGAAAACTTGGTCATGGTTCCCTCTCAAACTATCCAGAATTTCTCCTAAGATGTTTCAACTGACAATATCTTTGATGATTAGGTTTTCATTTCCATAAGACATACTTTAAGAGAACTCTGTTGCATTTTATGTTGCTTTGAGAAAACTCATTTCTAGGTCAATTTGAATCCTTGAAAGTTGCAGACACTTTGATATCATGTTCCCAAGACTTGCTTGTGTGGAGAGAAATGTTGGTCTGACACAGTGAAGGTGCACAACTGATCCACAACTCACTCATTGGCTTGAAGCTGCCAGTGACCAACCAAAGCATGATGCATTATAGAAATTCTCAATGTTTTAGAAATTTCAATCCAACTCTGGTTATAGACTCTGGACAATTCCGAACAAGAACAGCATACATATATGAATCGACTCAGAACATGTCTAACTAATGAATGTTGATCCAATATACATACCAAATTGATAATACAGCATTGGTTGTGATGGGAAGCTGAACTTCTCCTAGTGGCAGCCTTGTTTGGCACCGTGGTTACACACTTGTCTCTGACCCATTCATTCTTCACAGAGTGTGTGCTGTGATGTGATATCGGTTGCTATGAGTTTGATCATACACAGCTTAGAACCATGTATGGGGTGATTCGCTTTATCTATTGCAGGAAGGCAAAATCTTAGCACAAACTTTTCAGTTTTTACTTCAATAGAGAAAAGAAACTTCTTCCGTTCTTTGTCTTCTCTTTATAAAATCCTTGTACTTTCACAATAAATTCTTCCTCTTATCCCTTCCAATGGAGATATGATCCATTTTCAAATTTGATCCAGTGATCCACCCACCCAGACTTAAGTTCCAAGGCAAAAGTCTGGCCTTGAAATTATTCAGAATGGATGTTGACCATGGAACCACGACTTTGGTGTATGAAAGCGGACATTGTGACCAGGTGGGGACAAATAAACTAATTTTTGTCTTTTGCCCCACCGAGTAGTAGTTATTTTCAACCACACAATCGTCAATATGACTGACCCTATGGAAGGACTGATATGTCCAATGACTCAAACCCAAACGCATGTCCCATATATTATACAAGTCAGAAAAAAGAGATATATATATATATATTATTTGATGTAAGGGGGGCCATATTCGAAATCACCAGGGACGGGATATTCTCGGAACATTAGAAACCCTTCCCACGCGGTTTCCGGCTCGGATGGCTGCGATTCCGGACGTTACGCTCTTCTGACTAGGGTTTAGGATTCTTCGTCGAAGCTGTTGCCATTACTTGGTCGCGTCTCGGGGTTTAATCGATGGCCCCAAAGAGTTCGGATTCCCGACTTCCCTCCCCAGGATCGCGACTCTTCTGACGTCTTCTTCTTCGAGGTGCCGTTTTCGACTCCTCTTGCTCCTTTATTGATTTGGCTTTTCTGGATTCTAGTTCGGTTGCTTTCGTCGTGGGAGTTCGAACGATCGTACCTTTGTCTTGGAAGATGACTTTTGTGTGTGAAAGATGGGATTTTTCTGGGAAATTGTTTGTTTAGGCACTAGGGTTTTTTATCCTGTGATTCGAATCAAAATTCTTTTTGAGCTTGTTTTTGATACTTCAACGTATCGAAGCATGCGTTTATTTCAGATAAAACCCTGGAATCTGATGCGTCACATCATGTGTATGTGAAATTGAAGGTTTCATAAGTATTGGTTTTTGCGAATATGATCATCTTCCGCTTCTGATGTGTTTGCTGACAGTGGCAGAGCTCTTACTAGATTTTGAGAGACGGGACAGATGAGGGCACCGTCGCTTCTTGTTCAATGCTGGCTGGGGTTGATGCCCCATGACAAGGACAGTCATGCTGGTGTTTCCATAGCATCCGAAAGGGATTTGCATCTTCCCTCACCGGCTGTCGAGATTGTTCCTTCCAAGGTACGTCTTCCAACTTTTGAGCTCATATCTTTACCTGTTTGGGTGCTAAGCCTTGTTTATGTTTGAAAAAATCACTCAAGTTATTACGTGCACCTGTAGTGTCAAGTGCTTCAGTTGCTGCGATGGACCATTAGTTTTTGGTTTTCTTATACCAAAGAATCGCAATTTGGAAAATTTGCTGCTGTGGACATGAAGAGATTATGTCTAAATGATTTGATTGACTAGCTCATATTTTGTTCTTGTGACCACCAAGTGCTCTTTTCTTCTTTGGCTGTTTTACAGAATGCTCACCCATACAAGTATGCTGGAGAAAATGTTGACCTGCAAGGTCTCAAAATTTTTAAGGTACCAAGTTACTTAGCGCACGCCTGCGCGCACACACATACATACATATACATATGTACATATGAACATGTATGAACATATGTATATGCATATATATATGTATGTATATACATATCTATTTATATATACATATGTACATATACATATACATATGTATATGTCTATAGATATGTGTATATATGCATATCTATTTATATATTCATATGTACATATATATATATATATATATATGTATATATATATATATATGTATATACATATATGTATACACATATATGTATCTACATTTTCCTTTTTCAACTTATCTATGTCTATTTTTATTATTTGATTCCCAGGGAAGGGTTAGCATGGCTGACATAATCGGGTTTTCAAATTCAGAGATGCTGTCATCCAAGTTTGATGGTGAGCATATATGAGATAAGAATTTCTTCAATGGTTGGTCATGTAAATTGGGTTGCTTTGTAGAAAAGAAGTTTACCTTTTAGGTTTACTTTCTCAACTTGTAGGATCATTGAAATCTTGGGAGAGTTCAGCTGATCTATTAAGTGCTCTTAAGCTTGAGATTCGTGATGGGCAGCTGAGTTTTAGGGGAAAAAGGATTCTTGAGGTACCTACATTCTCAAAGCCCTTTCCTTTTTATTTTCCGTTTGTCAGTTCTTACACTATATTTCTTTTCTTTCCACTCTTGGCATGTGTGGACTTAGTTGGATTAATAGTTCATAGCATATTGTATTCAGTTGAATCTGATTAATGCTAAACTTATGACTGAACTTTGCTTAATGGTGTTAAGCTTCTTCATCTGTCACTGCCTCCTTCTTGCTTGCCACTTCTTTTGAATTTTTTCCTCTTTCCAATTATATCTGAATGTATTTCTGTATTTCTGTCTTCAGGTGTAATTTCTTCTTGCTGTAAAAAAAATTCTATCATAAGATATACATTGTTGACTTTTCTCTGTGGATAGAAAATGTATGATGTTTGATTTTTTTTTTGTGCAGATGAAACAATATATTTGTTTTAATTTGTTTGATAATTGCTGCAGCTTGGTTGCGGTTATGGTCTAGCTGGGACTTTTGCTTGTCTGAAGGTATTCATTTGTCTTTGTTTGCAAAAAGCTCCATTTCTTAGTGGGGATATTCAAATTCAACATGAACTCATTGAATAATTGTTATTTTGCTTAATTTTAACAGTACATAAATTGTCACCATCGATCCAAAACCATATCATTTTTCATCGTGTGGTTCTTGCTTAATTTTCCATGCAATTTTGTTCTAGGGTGCTTCCACAGTTCATTTCCATGATCTGAATGCAGAAACAATTAGATGCACAACCATGCCCAATGTCCTTGCAAATCTTGAGCAGGCTCAGGACAAGCAGAGTCACCAACCAGAGAGTCCCTTCACTCCATCTCGGCAGCAGTCTGCTTCTGATGTCCATTTTTATGCTGGAGACTGGGAGGAGCTTTGTACTGTCCTATCTGTGGTGAGGATGGATGCTAGCCTCAGCTTCTCCGAGGATGATTTTATGGATGGATGTAGCAGTCACGATGGAAGTATTATTGCTCATGAAACTTGTTCGAGGCAGTCGAGGAAGCTCTCTGGAAGCCGTGCCTGGGAAAGGGCCAGCGACGGAGACACTGGAGATGGTGGCTATGATGTCATTTTGATTACTGAAATTCCGCACTCAATGAATTCTCTGAGGAAGCTATATGACCTGATATCAAAGGTTAGCTGGATTTTTATTCTCTATATTCTTTAAATTACTCATTGATATTTTTGATATTTGCCCAACAAAATATTTATTGATATTGTATACAAATAAGATTGATGGTAAACCATTATGATGAAGAACCTCATAAACTTGCCAGTCTTCCCTAGTTAATCTCTTATTTGAAATTTGTTAACAGCTTTTAAACCTTGCTTTCACTACTCTGTTAGATCTTGATCTTTCTGCTTTCCAAAGAAGGTCGCAAATGTGTTCCCCAGGACCATTCTATGTCAATGCTGACTCAATTAAAGGCCTGACTTCTCAAACTTAATATGTAGATCTTCTTTGACCGCATTCTATTAGTGAGTGTGAAAGTTATTTTTCCATTTTTTTATCCGATTATGTGGGTGTTCTGTTATTGTTGTTATATTGTGTAAGAGCAGTAGTCAAACCAATATTGGAGAATCTCTCAGTTGGCCTAGCTTCAGAGATTACCACATATACTTGCCTTTTGCTTCGACACTATGGCCGAGAATTGACAACCAAATCTGATTGGATTCTTTATAATGCAGTGTCTACGGCCACCATACGGAGTTATGTATTTGGCTGTGAAGAAGAACTTTGTAGGTTCGAGTGGTGGAGCACGGCAGCTAAGGGCCATGGTGGACGAGGAGGGTGTTTATGGTGTCCACATGGTTACAGAATTGGTGGATCGGGAGATATGGAAATTCTTTTTCAAGTGAGCGCGCTCGAGAAGATAAAGATCTTGTTCTTCATAGTAAGGTATCCTTTGTTTGGCACCGCCTGTCACTTATGTACATCGAACTGAGTGTATTCTTCTTTTGCTTCATCACCAAAATAAAGGTCCAAAAGTATGGGACCTGAGCTTGGGAGTGCTGCTATTTTGTAGATGGTACGTAGTATACAGGGATTTTTTTGTCATTCAAGTTCAGTATTTGTATGCAAGACTTCTTTTCTGTATTGTCTGATGAAATCTACTGTCGAATCAGTCCAACCTAACTACGCCATTCATCTTCGTATGTAATGTCTTTCATGATGAGCCGTTCATGTCAACATTGCAGTTGTTTTCATCAATGATCAGAACATAGATTTTTTTTAACACTATTCATCTATTATTCCCTGTCATGATTCCCTCGGCCAAATCTCTGTTTGCATCATGCATTCTCCGACCAGCATCACAATTTTGGTGTTGTTTGGGAGGCAATGAGGCACCCATCTACTTTTCCAATATAAAGTTACTAAGTCGTGATTATATCTTTGTGTTTGCATTCCAATTAGTCTCGCATTAGATGATGCTTATGTTGATTTATGTGGTCAAAATCTCCTATTAATTATCCAATCTACAGTGCCAATAAAGTTGTTATTTTTTTTTATTTTACTTGCGCATTATCTTTCAAGCAAGGAAAGACCACTTCTACCGAATTAGGATCAATCAGAACCCTTCCCCTTCCATTCTAAAACTACCCAACTTTTGGAGAGAGAGAGAGAGAGAGAGTCTGTCTTGTGTTCTTCCCACACCTCTCCAACATCCATGGATAAGCTATTCTAAAAAGTCTTTCAGTGGAGTGGGCATTCTCCTGTGCATAATTTGTGCCATCACCTTATCAAATGCATTTATTCCCATTCAAGTTTTAAGCTTGTATTAAATAAAAATTATTAATCATTAGAAGAAAGAAAAAAGATTAGAAAAATTGGTCAACGGTGTGAGGCCACGGTCAGAATCAACGTCCGCCTGATCGCCGGCTCACTGTCCTCCGCGGTCTCGTTTTCAGGGTGGGGAGGACGTCAAAAGGACCTCCGACGACATCGTCCGTGCGGCCGCGGCAGGATCCGACCCGGATTCGCCGCCGCCGCGAAATCTTTTCCTTTCGCCGCCACACAAAGATCCCCTCTCCCCGTACGGACGTCTGATGACTCGTCCGCACGAAGCCTCGTGCGCCCTCCTCTCCTCTTACGTGAACAGTGAGGATATCCTGCTCGGGATATGGCGCGGGGGATTTGACGTTGCCGTGTTCATCGGGGTCCAACTCCCCAATCCTTTCTTCTTCTACCACTAAATTTTAGCTTTGCTTCCCGTTCGAGAAAGATATCAGGCCATGGACGCAGGCGTCGAAGTATGCATGACTGCAGACGAAGAGAAGCAGCAGCACATGGATGCTTCAGCTCCTCTGCCTCATTGTCGCGAGAGCAGTAGGAGAAGCAACCCCGGTGTTCCCAATCTCTCCACTTACGGGAGCAGTTGCTCCTTTGTTGGGCTTATTTTGCTTATACCCTTCCCTCATTTTCCTTGCATGGCATGTCAGTGGGCGCCAGACTCCGCTCCGAGAAGCCGCCGGGCCCCGCCCCGTGGAGGCATCAGCACTGCCAGCGTGCGGCTGGGAAGCGGCCCCGGGTGTCTCCCCCACCACCGCCGGGGTCACGCGGTGGGGCCACGTCGCTTCCTGGTGAGAGCATTAATGGAGTGGGAGGAGGGCCATTGCCATATCCGGCATTTGACACACTGTTCTTGCTGCCGCGTGGGAGGTATCGCAGGTGTACGGCCACGGATACGCTTCAGGGAGCCGGCGTCGACGACAAGCAAGAAACAGGATATAATGGGCGTCTTCCTCCTCTGGCCACGGACGCCATTCCCGCTGCATCCTCCTCCGCTGCCGTCCTCCTGCTTCTGCTACATGGCGATGGTGGCCGGCGGCAGCCAGCGTCGGAGAGTGCTGCTCGTGGAAGATAACGAAGTCAACCGGGTACGACCTCCCCTCCCTTTCTTCTTCGTAGATGAGTGTAGCTTGGATCGATGCGTTTGTGACGGGTCACGCCGTGCCGCCGCAGGTGGTGGTGAGAAGGCTGACGAGGGAGATGGGCATGGGATTGGAGGAAGCAGAGAATGGCAGAGTGGCAGTGGAACTCATCAGGCAGGGAAGAGCCTACGATCTCATCCTCATGGACAAGGAGATGCCTGTCATGGATGGTCACGAGGTAAGTTCCTCCCGGCCATGCTGCAACATTTGGATCTCTCGTTCCTGTCGTCCTCTGTATTCATGCATGCATCCCACTCTGCCTGCAACAGGCCACCAGGCAGCTCCGATCACTGGGAGTGACGACTCCCATCGTAGCTCTCTCCGGGAACACCCTGCAGTCCGACAGGGACTCCTTCCTCGAAGCTGGTGCCGACCATTTCGAAGCCAAGGTACATAGCTCAACAACAACATCATCATCATCATCATCACAGATCTCTAATGGTGTCTTCTGCTTGCAGCCGCTTTCCAGAGGTCAATTCATGAAGATACTGACCAAGTACGGCCTTCACCAGCTTTAGTAGCTCGTCTCTAGCTCTCATGAAGCCATTGCCCACTGCAAGGGGCTCATTTTGAGGCTTCTCTCGTCAATAATTACATCTAGTTTTTTGCTTTTGTCCTCTTTTCAGTTAGACACAAAAAAAAAAATAATTAATCGGATTCAAGTCGATGCAATTAATTCGAAGTCAGAGATGAAGTATGTTGTTTCTTGCCACGGTAAGCTTAACAAACACAAGTCGTAGCATATAATAGTTGCTGTTCATTAAATATTATCAACAATTTAAGCTGTATATACATACTCTTTTGTTTGTCGCTCGAGATTTGCGAAACAAAATTATCGGCTATTCTAATTTAGTGGAGTGATCGGATGGCTGTCAGTAGGAAGGAAAACACATGACCCCAAATTCTCCACAAGTTTTGGTATTGGTTTAATGATTTGGACGGCAAAAACGCTGGGTACCACAAGTGGGTCCCGATGTGGGTACCACTTAGACTTCCAACTGGGAGACGGGTCTCGTTGGGTCCATAACATTGGTTCGCCAATTTCCGATCGGTTGTTTCGAAGAGAAAACAATAATATTATGCATTAATTTCTCGAAAGTCTATGGAAGGATAATTTTAAAGTTATTACGCACAAGATTTGTAAGCTCCGATGGGATCGTTTTACTTCTTCTTTCCTTGTTTAGTCAACCAATTAATTAATGGTTAGTGGGATTATTCATTTCGTATGAGTGCAAATCGTATTATTAGAACTCGGACGTCTCTTTATGGATTTAGATATAAGATCTATCAAGTATGTAAAATGATATGTTAATCGCCAGAATGCGTTGACATGGATGGAGCCATTTACTTTAATGTTAATGAACAAAGAAAATAAATTAAATAAGGTGTTACAGTAAATAAAATTAAGAGAAAAATTAGAACAAAAACTGATCCTTGTTTCGGATTGATTTCACGAGCAATGTCGCACCATTTCTGCACACGGTTTATGTTAGTAAAGCTGCAGCAGAAGAAGGTGAAGCCCGGAGCGGAGTGGTTTGGTTTGCATCGGAACAACAGTGGATGGATCCTCACGGTCGTCGAGCGAAGGTTTTTCTTGAATCATTAATGTTTGTTGTTATTTGATCTACCACGGTTCCATTCGGTTTTAACCAAAAATGAATCTGGCAAGCACCCTATCAATACCGACGCTCTTTAGCACTCTCCATCGTCAACTCATGCTCAGAGAAAGAAGAAGAAGAAGAAGAAGAAGAAGAAAAGGAGGGCGGGTATTAAAGAGTAATTTTTAAATATTAAATTTTTTTTAATTCCATTTTCGACAGAGCCGAAGCCACCGATTCCATATTCGATGTTTCATCTTTATTATATATATATATATATATATATATATATATATATATATAATATACTGCTGCAATGCATTTTCTTCTTATGATTGATGCAGTTCCGTATCACTGTCCAGCATGCATGTGAGCTAGATTTTGGCCTAACGTTAGGCTTTTTCCACTTTCTTCCCTAACCTTTGGCTTCATTCCATGAGCCTCCATGACTTTGGCAAGTTGTTGTCAAATGCTGTTCGGCATGGACTGAGTAACAAGTCTTTGATGGCTTTGCCCTATGCAGCATTGACCTTATGATGTTGCACAAGGAAATTTTGGCCTTCTCTCTAGATTAAGCTGGAAAAAGATGAACATGATCAACACAAGTAGCAGAGGAAGCTGACATTTTGATGGCTGCTTGGAGTTCCGTCACGTCGTTGCCTTCTTTTGCATTGGTTCTCTGTCACTGTCACGTTATTGTTTTTGCAATTTGTTATAGCTTCGCGTTCTCGAATGCAAAGACTGGTTGTTTCGAATGGACAAAGTCTGGTCAATCTGATGAATTGTCACCAATGCGGCTTCGACAAGCCACCATTAAATCCGTCTCCTCTCCTCCCTCTCTATAAATACCTCACGAGCAGTGTTCTACTTCCATCATCCCCAGCAATGGCGGTCCACAACACGATGCTTCTGCTGGGCCTCCTCTTGGCCGGAGCCATCGCGGTGGCCGCGCAGAATTGCGGCTGCTCTGCCGACCTCTGCTGCAGCAAGTACGGCTACTGCGGCACCGGCGACGACTACTGCGGCGACGGGTGCCAGTCGGGACCGTGCTACTCCTCCTCCACCCCCTCCAACGACGTCTCGGTGGCCGACATCGTGACGCAGAGCTTCTTCGACGGGATCATCGGCCAGGCCGACGGCGGGTGCGCCGGCAAGAGCTTCTACACCCGCGACAACTTCCTGACCGCAGCCGGCTCCTACCCGACCTTCGGCCACACCGGAACCGCCGACGACTCCAAGCGCGAGATCGCCGCCTTCTTCGCCCACGCCACGCACGAGACCGGACGTGAGTTCTCGACTTGCGTGCACGCATGCGATCGTTCCTTCAAGTACTTGTCGCATCGATGCTTACTTCTTCTCTGCAGACTTCTGCTACATAGAGGAGATCGATGGCGCGTCGAAGGACTACTGCGACGAGAACAACACGGAGTGGCCGTGCGTTGCGGGGAAGGGCTACTACGGCCGCGGGCCGCTCCAACTCTCCTGGAACTACAACTACGGA